TAAAATATTCATTAATGCTTTATTATCAGTGATAAGGTTACCAAGATGAGAGCCCACATTTACACAAAGCCCCCCTTTCTTAGCTTTAAAGCTGCACTAATCGATATTTTAAGGAAACAATGGATCAAATGACTGAGCCTAATCTCACTAAGAAGTTGTCAAAAGCTGGTGCTTGGGCAGTGACTTGGGGCATCAAAAATTAATGAAAAAATGCGTTCTTTAACGTCGGCATGATGCAAGGCCGGTTGCTGCTATAGTTTAGTGGCCCCTGGTGGTGTCGGGGGGAAACGCGTTGGGATAGGGATAAAAGTTACGCTGGCAAAAGTCCGAGTGGGGCAGGTGGGAGGGGTGGTGGATGGGTCCAACAAACACCGACCTTCACCCAAGAGAGCGGTGTTCATGTCCCATAAGATTCTAAAGACAAACCCTGTTCTTTTTTTCTAAACCCAACCATGTGCGTTAGTTGTTGAAGGAAAAAAAAGTCAGTTTGAGGTGTTGTACAACGTAGTGCATTTATTTTGAAGAGACTGTATGTAAACGTAAAATTTCCTGTGAAAACGGAAGTGTATCTGACAAGACAAGACAATGCATGTAACAGGCAGAACTTGACACGGTATCCCAGAACGTCAGCAACCAACGCACCCAGGGTACCTTGCGTGTTGTATCTGATAGTGGACAGTCCATGACAAAAACGTCAATATGTGATGAGGTCGGTGTGTGAACGTGTTGAATGGCTACGTGTAATGTAGTGCTGCTCACAACTATGAACCCACAGAGAAATACCACCTGCTAAGGCAGTTTCCCCTCTGCTTGTTGGACCATTTTAGCATCTTTCAGCTCACTGTTTCATTTTTTTGTGCCTTCCCTTCACTGTTTTGGTTCACTCTCACCACTCTTATCTTTTAACTTTCAGCCACTGCGGGCAACTGTTTTCAGCAAATCAACAAAAGACAGATAACACAAGTAGAAAGACAGAGCTAGCAGTTAGCTGTGAACATAGAATAGTGCAGCATTTAGTGGCTAAAGAGACATATTTCCCCCATGAGTTGGTGGAGACCAAAACAGAGCTGAAAGGAGAGTGAACATTGCACTTACATTTCCCAAGTGGCCAGAAACACAACTACAAATTAATGATGATGTTGCTTTGTGTCTGCTGAATGTGTAAATTGGATATTTTCTTGTCAATATGTTCACTTGTCAGTTTTATGGAGGTCTTACAGTATGCTAGTGTTGTGTTTATAGTCAGTCCTGTCTCCAATGAGGAAATGTTGTTAATTAACTGATCTGGCAAGTTGCAAAAATGATGCGAATGACTGTATCAGCAAAATGTTCCCTAACGATGTATATCAGTTGTTTTCCACCCTAAATAGGCAGTTCTAGAATATAATATCCACTCATAGTGACTACAGCATTATTTTTTTAAATTAACATTTAACCAAAATCACAATCTTTCCCAAAGGTGCATTTGTTGTCTAAACCTAAGACTAGTATTTTTTTGTTGCCAAAACAAGAGTCGGAACATGAACTCTGGTTTTGATTTCAAAGTCTGCACTTGTATGCCCACCATCCCTCCCAACCACCCCCCTCTGAAGCCTACGCAGGACATGAATTGCAGTGTTTTGTAATCCAGGCAGTGATTATGTTGCCACAACAATGTAATTAAGAAAGTAGTACACAAAACATATTTTTTTAGGAGACAAGGTTCTTACAGTTTGTTCTTTTGCTCCAAAGTGGCCAAAAAAATAATTTATTGCAGGTTTAACAAGTGCTTATCAGCTGTTGGTTGTTCTCAGTCTGTGGTAGGAAATTTAATTTAATTTTTTCCCTCCGAGGCAAATTATGATTTGTGATATTAGGCTTTATAAATAAAATTGAACTGAATTGGAATAAAAAGATGCAGGCAGTTGGATTTCTATGACATAAAGTTGGCCAGCTCTGTTGTAGAGGATCTGCACTCATGTCTGACAGTTACACATGTAGGCTCTTATTTGACTGTCTGATGTGTGTCCCTCTAAACAGACAAAGACAACCTCTTCGTCCCCTCTACCATCCACTTTGAGATTGTGTACCTGCGCCCGGACAGGCCCGCTGTGGTGCCGTGCCGTGTGACCGACCCACAGGCCATGGTGTCCCTGCACAGAGAAGTCCCTCCAGAGGAGATCATAGCCAACGGGACACAGGTGACCTATGACCCCACCAAGGGGTTTGTCCTGCAGAACCCCAGCCCAGAGCATCAGGGGGTCTTCTACTGCAAGGCTGTGACAAAGGGCACCCCTCAGATCTCCACTAAGTACCAGCTGCTCTATGTGGAGGGTAAGGACGCAGCAGTCACACTTGAATATGATCAAGAACACAGTAACATGTAGTGATGCTGCTCCTGGTGCGGCATCAGTAACCATTTTTTTTCTGTGCCTTTAACTGTCAAACATAACCATGTAACTTGTCACTGTATTGATTAAAAGCACCAAGAACCACTGCGAGAGGCAGTTTCACAAAGTCATGAGTCAAGTGCTGGTTACTTAGCTTCATCAGCTTCCAGGAAAAGGTTGTATTTCAGAGTTGTCAAAAGCCTCCTCTCTCCTCGCCGCTGAGCTCGGCTTATGTGGACGTTTGCCAGCTGAAATGGAAACACAGTCTGGATTTCGCAAATGGGAGGATATGAATTTATAAAATGGAAATTGTGTGTGGTTTAGGTAAAGTAAGCTGCCATGGCGTGTTTGACTGGCAGATGGAGAGAAATAGACTTTGGACTGGTGACAGAGGTTTAACTGTATAAATACCATCAAGCTTTCATCTATAACTGCCATAAGCTGCTTACTGTTTCTTGTTGACAGTTCCTAGCGGGGCACCATTTGTGAGCCTTGAATCTTCTCCAGAGTCGGTGAGAGGAGGCGACAACGTCAATCTGACGTGCACAGTGCTGGGGGAGCCGGAGGTGGACGTGAGCTTTACCTGGTCTTATCCTGGTCAGGTAAGAGGACAGCTCAGCTTAAAACCAAAAATCCAAACTGATTAAGGTTGAAAACCAACAAATCACAACCTTCGCTTGTACATGTCAGTTCACTTCAGTTGGACTGTCCCAACAGAGACATTTATTTTGTAACCAGGAGAATAGAACCAACACTATATATAGTTGACAGCATTCTTACTCAAGTGTGACCATAGACTATATAAAAGAAGTAGACTTTGCTGCCTGGTCTTAAAAGTGAAACCAACGCAGAAGTGCAGTAATCCTGCAGTCTTTCTAATGGCCAGCAGGGGGCAACTCCACTGGTTGCAAATAGAAGTCTGATTGTATAGAGGTCAATGAGAAAATGACCCTACGTCTCACTTGATTTATTACCTCAGTAAACATTTTCCTAATGTGTATACAGGCTCAGTCACTAGTTTTAAGTCATCTTCCGTACAGCATAATGTTCATTTTGTGAATTATGGTCCCATTTAGAGTAAAATAGATGATAAATTAGGATATACTTTGGGGCACAGCCACCTTGTGACTGACAGTTTGCTCCCGCGAAGGCCTGTCAATCAGGATAGAGGCTTATTAATATGCACCCTCTCCAGCTCCCCCTTTGGTCTGAATATGGTCACTACTGGCTCCAAAGAACCAAGATAGCGACGGCCAAAATGCCAAACTCAAAACCTTAAAATGGCAGTCCACAAACCAGTGGGTGACGTCACAGTGGTGACGTCTACTTCTTTTATACAGTCTGAGTGTGATACTTTGTCAGTAGTACATAATAATTAGTTAATGCCTGCGTCTTCAACAGGGGGTTCACGACCCTTAGGGGGTTCTCAGTTACTGCAGGGGGGTCGCCATCTTAGTGTTGGATGACTTAAGTCTGAATATTTTTTTCTCAAAAATGAATATATAGCTACATATATGTGAAAATACACTTTAATATTAATCCAACATATTATTACATATTTATATGCATAACCCCTCTGTGCAGAGTCTGCATGTTCTCCCTATGTCAGCGTGGGTTTTCTCTGGGTACTCCAGCTTCCTCCCACAGTCCAGACATGTAGGCTAACTTAACTGGTGACTAAATTGCCCGTAGGTGTGAATGTGAGCGTAAATAGTCGTCTGTCTCTATGTGTCTGCCCAGTGATTCTCTGGTGACTTGTCCAGGGTGTACCCCACCTCTCGCCCAATGTCAGCTGGGATAGGCTCCAGCCCCCCTGTGGCCCCTAACAGGATAAGCGGTTACAGAAAATAACTTAATGAATGTATATGAGATAAATCTGCCTATTAAAACAGAACAAAATACAACGTTTAATTCACAGTACACAACATTCATGAAAGACTGTTACCTTTGAATCTTTGTGCAATCACTTGAGCTAGCTAGCACTAAATCACTGTGCAGCACTTGTTCGTAATAGCGAGGTGAACAAGTTAACCAGCCAACCAACCACCATGACAGCGCTTTAAAAATCCTTTACTGTGGACACAAGTTGTCTCCTTCACTGAAATGTTGAAAGCATGTGCACACCGGGAGGTTTCAAGTTTCCACATCACACATATGTAGGTTGCATATTTGGCTTCAAAACAAGTTGTGATGTCACAAGAACCAGCTGGTACATCCAGGTGTTAAACTCAGATTTCAGACAAACTTTCCCCCCTCAGCAGATGAATGTGAAAAACTCTGCACAGAGAAGCTCAAACACTCAAGTGAGATCATAGTTAGAAAAACACATTTACACATGGCCTGACTGTCACCAACAAATAACAGAATGGTGGTAAGTCTTTGTTTTATTGTTCAGGGCCACCGCCCAGTTCACATCCAAACTTCCTGGAGGTTGGTTAACAGAGGTATGAGCCACACCACGCGGGTCACCCAGAGCGTCATGACTGTGGAAGACATGGAAACCATCGACTTTGGGAACTACATCTGTAAAGCCAAAAACCAGCACGGTGAGACAATTGTGACAACCGACATCATCTCCAAATAGCCCCGGCAGCAGAGCCTGTGTTACGTTTGATGTCAGTGTATTGTTGAGATATAACTGGAACACACCAACCAGTGAGACCTCATGACATCATCATGTATATACATTAATATGGGTGTATTTTTAGTTTGCAGATTGTGATAACATAATAAAGATTTGCTACTTCTTTTGTTTTCTGTCTTATTTGGGAGTGATCCAAAACAAGTTGTATTTGTGCAGAGGCTTTACTCTTCCTCTGACTCAAAGCCCAAGGAGAGGTTTAATTTAGCAGCAGGACAATGAGCCCACACATGAACCCAAAATATCTGAAGTCCAAAGAACAAGGAGTGTTGACCTGCAAGGCTTTTTCCTCCACAGTCACCAGACCTCAAGTCTACTGAGTGTATCTGGAAACATTTGATAAGAGAAAAGCCAAAACTGTCTGACAGCAGGGTGTAGGTTTTAGATTTCCAAACTCTGCAAAAAGTTGAATGAATGCCAAGAGAAAACTGTAACTCAGATGAGTGCTGCATTCATCAAACACTGAGATTTTGATTTGTAAATAAATGTTAACTTTAAAAGTAATTAACAAATGAAACTAGAGTTGTGGCTGGTGGAGTCAGATTTTCTGGGCCTCTATGTGACAGGGACAACACCCTGCTGTTGTAAACCCTGGCACTCTGCTGTGTTGGACACATAATCAAACATCACATTTAGCCTTCATGTTATATTGAGATGAAATAATGATGCTGGAAAAGCAAGCAGCAGCCGTCAGAGACCTTCTCTGGCTTTGTAGCATGTTGTGAAGAGGAGAATCTGGTTTAAAGCTGAGCTGTGTGCCAGGCTGACGTCCTAATGCACTCCATATGTGGAATGTGATCTGCGGGCCCAGAACTTATTTCGGCCCAACGCAACACTTGCTGCAGTTTCCACTTTGTTGAATAGTTGCTGGTTGTTATGATTTTGGAATCCACGTTAGCTTAGCCTGTGAATGTTTGTGGTTTAGAAAACATTTAAGTATATTAAGCTCAAACACAACAGTCACAAGGCTGAGCTGATACCTGCTGAGTTCCAGGAAAAACTGAATTCCTATAATATACTTCTGAATAAGGTCACCACAAGTAGTTTCATCTGCTGTGAGTCAGAATATGAAGATCACAGTTATATATCTTGACTTTGCTTTATACAAGACTTTATTAATTGCATATTTCAAACAGGGTCAACAAACCAATAATACCAATTCCACATAAATTACTCTTTTTGAGACACTGCGGCCTCTGACATGTACATTAAAGCCTCTACTGGTCAACTCTCTGCAAAGACCCCAACTTTAAAGCTGCATTTGGAGGGTTCAGTAAGGGGTGATCACCAAGACTCAAACACATGCACAAAGACTTGGATTGGTCCCTTGGTCAAACAAACAAATGTGAAAAAAAAAAAACATGTTTGAGGCCACAGATGAAACTTTAACTGACAGCCCAGGTGTAAAAAATTCCAACCTTTTAAAAAAAAAGTAACCTCAAAGAAACTCGGAACACAGAGGGAGGCTTGTACAGCCCTGGTGTACTGACTAGCAGCAGGGTTTTAGTAATACGACAAACTGGCTGTGACTCCTGCAGCGTTAGCTGCGAGAAATGGTACAGGAATCCCACAGAAGCAATTTCATATTTCATGCGTACTTCAAATAAAATGCGCTCTAAGGAGTGTTGTCTGTATTCACAGCTACTCTGAATTCAGACTTTCCATGGCTGTGGTCTCCAGAGACACAAAGAAGCCCTCACTCACACAACAGGGCTGTGTCTGCACGTGTTGACATGCATGCATGTGTGCATCTTTTACTGCATGTGCTGTGTATGTACGCTGAGCCTCAGGACAGACAAGCCTCTGACAACAAGTAACAAAAATAGTGTATCATATAGAAGTCCTGAGATTTCCTTTCCCCCCCATTTATAGTATCAGACGTGAAAGGCAAAACAACAAGGCGACCTCGCTTATTAAGTGCTTTTGTGCAACTGTTTTTTTTTTCTTTTTCTTTAATACAGTCTGTAGCATGTCTGTACAGAAAGTGTGAGAGTTCATCCGATCCTGAAAGAGCCAAAGTCGGGCTGTTGTGTTGCTAAGCGAACAGGAAACAAACATGGCTCTTAATTCCAGAGGGATAACTCAAAAGAGAGGGAGTGCTTCCTAGAAGCAGGGGCCCATCGTTATCTGGGTGAGACAGGAGGGCTGGAGAACATGCCAGAGCTGCGAGGTGATTGGAGGCTGAAGGAGTGGGAGGGTGAGGTGGAGGTGGGGGACACCTTGCGGGGGCTACTCAGGTCTCCGTTGTGGAGCTTCCACATCAGCTCCTCGTTCTCCATCGACAGGCGCTTGTTCACCTTGGACTCCTTCTGAAGGGACTCCTGCAGCACCGCCTGCTCTGTTGACAGCTGTCTGTAATGCATCAACACAACAGACAAGTTAGGAATGCTCTAAAGAACAAATGTTTACAGACACACATATATCAAATCTAATTACTAAGAGTATATACTTGTGATTTGATTAAATAAACGTAAAACCTACAATTACGGCCTCCACAAACCAGTTAAGTTGCATTAAAAATTTACATCCATGTCAGTGAAAACTCAGATGCCTCACACACACATCTTAAACCCGGCAGCACAGAAACTGGAGTACATAATGTATTTGGTGAGGACAGTGTGTTTGGGACTCCGTCACATTAAACTACAGTGCCCATATTTATCACAGGAAGTTGTCACCCAGTGCAACTGCAGGATGCAGGTCGATACCACAGCGCAGCATGTTCTTAATTGAATGCGGCCTTTCAAAAGTTCAGTGAAGCATGAAGAGTCTGAATTGAGGCGGATAGTTTGATGCTTCAAAGTCTGGTTTCCATCACTACAGATGAGTTCGTACTGTGAGCTCTTACCTTGACAGTGCATAATGTCTTTCCATTCGGGCTTTCAGGTCCTCATTCTCCTGCTGGACCTTCTTAAGGCTCTCATCCAACTTCACATTTTTCTCTGTCTGGAAAGACAAAAACAACAACACATGAATTCCTCAATCATTCTATTGGTTCCTTTTTAATGATCATGATCATCTGCCTCAGGTCTCACCAGTTTTTCTATCTCCATCAGCTTCTTTTCCTGCTGGTGGAGCTGATTGTTTTTGATATCCAGCACCACTTTGAGACTCTCCAACTCCTGCTCCAGATACAGCGTGTGGGAGTCCTTCTGTGGGGCAAATAAGTGCCAAGATGTTAAGGGACTGTTAAAGACTTTAAATATGAGTACAGCCAGTGTCATAAATATCATGTGGCCATAAATCCAGAACCATACAACAGAGGGCGCCGTGCATCATTTACAAATTAATCATTGCTCCAGACTCACAGAGGCAATGAAACTCTGGACGTTAAGGTGTCATACACATTGACATAAAAAATATAAACATGCAAATAATGTGTTTTGCATGAAGGTACTGTTTAAACTAACAGTCCCTTTTTAGCTACAAGTGGCCAATATGTAATACTGAGCTGTTGCTAATGCTGCTCTAATTATTAATAGCAGATGAGGAGTGGCAGGGTGATGTGAGGTAGTTACCTTAATGACTCTACTGTGCCAGGGCAGAATGCTGAGTGCATGTGGCAGCTACTTAACACTGATGAGGAGTGGCATCCTCACTGTGCAACAGCACTCTGGGAAAATTAAAATCTACACCCTGAGCAGAGAGGGAGGGCGGTGTTGTGTAGGGGAGGGAATCTCCAGGCACCTCATGATTCGATTAAGATTCAGTGGAGAATGATCTGATTATCAAACGATTATTGATGCATCAAAGTTTTTGTTAATTTTAAACAAACCGTACCATATTTGTAATTACCCATGATTTAATAAAACAGATGAGGTTATGTATATACAGTGTGCCTCTTGTCTAGGTCCCTTATCCCTTCGACTTCCCTGAAGCCCAAATGCCTCCACAGGCTAGCTTTTAAACCAGGAAGTGCCAGTCAGATTGTATCCATCTGTGGTTGCTCACACCAACCCACTGTGATATTTTTATGTCACTGTAGTGTCCAGTGTTTGCATACTGTAGTATTTCATCTGAAATAGTATGCAGTTAATGTACTGTTGAACATTAAATGGTCCTCAGCCTTTTTATTTTAAATGTTAACCACATTAATTAATGAATTAGTTCATTTGAAGCACCTCAAGTCTCCTGCCTGTATGAGAATCACATGAAGGGGAGGTTGTGTGTTATGAACATCTCCAGCAGTGGAGAGCAGCCTCTCTTGCCCAGGAAGAAAGCCAAGACGCTGAGCGGGCCTGGCGCAGGGTTTTTGAGGTGAAACAGGCTAAACACAGATTTACTGGCCCTCATTTATCAATCTAGCGTACAAACCAGAGCAGATCTGAGTGCAGAAATCATGCAACGATAGGGTTCACGTGTGATTCATGAAACATTCTTATCTCTCGCTGATCACAGTGTAGCAATGATCGGGCGCTGATAAATGTAGTGGCTGAAAAAAAGCTGACATTTAAATATCTCACCCCAATATGTTCTTGGCTTAGAGGCCTTGCTCCTAGAGTTTCAACATAGAGAGGTGTAACACGAGGTAAAAATGCTGGCGTCCCAGGACCAATTTAACCAAATGGTTCTATCTCAATGATTTTACAAAATATAAATATTTGACTGAAAATACTTAGATGTCAGTTAGAATAAGATTTCATGACAGTTTTCCGACTCGGTCAGATTTACTGATGTTTAACTGTAGCCTCCACTCACGTTCACATAGATAAGTGATGGGCTTTTCGTATATTAGGGCCATTGTCTTCACCAGAGAGGTGTTTTAAGTTGTTTAATGCTACAATGAGCGTCTCACTGGTCTCGTTTGTTAACACTGCTGACAGTTGCTCTGCTCAATTAATCTTAGTTTCTAGGTGATGGCGAAGAAGGTATTCACTACTCACTTCACGTTCGCCTCACAACTGTAATTACTTAGTCATTAAAATCAAATATGCTTGCAACATCCACCTTTCGTGAAGATGAATAACAAGTTAACTCCAGTGTGTGTGTGTCGCCTGGGTGCTGCACTGCTCTCACTGTTGGACTCCGCCTCCTTTGTTCTGTCAACATCACGTTATTAACAAATATTTAGATAACTGATTATTGACACTTGTGAATCGGTGCCAA